TCCACTGAACATGGGTGGCAAAAACAAACACTGAACATGGCACGACACATCGACACCTTGGGTGTCTTGTTTACCTCTTTTCTTGGTACGGTCACATCCAATTGGTGGAGGTGTCCTCATTTGTCCAAAGGTTCTCCATACAATACAATGATACAAATTCTCTGAAAACTCTGCAAATACGTGGGAACACTTGAGCTTCGTGTGGAAAAAACACCAAAAATAGGCACCGACTGTGTGGAGCAGGAGATCACAACATGTTGCTGTGCCACACCCTAGTATTCAAAGAAGCAGCGCCCTTGTCCAAAAAACCACTACTGAACTCCTTTGCCGAAAACACACCAAGTTTCATCGATGTCTGCTCCTGAAGGCCTGCCCTTCGGTAAGTGTCTTAACGCCGCGCGGCTGGACATCAAGACGCCGATCTTCTCGCCAATCTTCCGCCTAGACGCGCGGTGGACTGTCGAGTGTTGCATGAGGAGTGGCGTGTCTTTCGGGTGCGTCTTGGGTGGAGCGGCTTGGTTCGGCCAGGCGCTGCTGTTTGGAGCAAGAGTGGGCGTCTGGCAAGGTGCAAATTTGCTGCACCCAATGGCTCTTCGAACCTGCCCCTCCAGACTGTTTATGGGAAAACAACCCAGTTTATGTCTTTTTTTTTGGGGGGGGAGGTGCGTGGACCTGGGAATATGGTTTCCAAAAATCGGGTGCGAGGGGGTTGGGGGGTGGGCGGAAAGCCTGCTGAAACCCATGAACAAAACATGTAGCGACTGTGCAACAAAGCATGAAACACCTTAATCTTGGTTTGCGTTGTCAACCGCCGTTTGGGCTAATGCCTATTATATAGGGTGCAACGGAAGGGTTTCAAGGCAGAAGGGCTTGTAAAAAATTGGTTTGAACATCTGGTTCAACCCCCGCCTGGCGGCCGCGCTGCTTCCTTTGGCAGCGGCGGCGCTGCTGGCTTTGGCAGCTGCCGGACCAACTGGGCGCCAAAGGGCAACCATGCCAGGGCTGAGCAATCCTTTTGGTAGGTTACACAAGGGTGGTTACACATGGACAGGTCATGAACTGGAGGGATCTCTGAACTTCTCAATGATTCTCGTATGCCACTAAATTGCCGGAACTGAACTTCTTCGTTTGTGCATAGTGAGTTATCCTTTCGACCAGGAATACTGGTTGATGGAAGCGGTGTTTATTGAATTTACCATCAAGACCAAGCTGGACACTGTCGTGGCCTTTTGCGTGCGTTCTCTTCTCGACGTCCTGCCCAGCAAGCTCCCTGTCTGCATCAGTATCTCAAAGGGCCTCGCCTGAGGCTGTCAACACATGCTTCTCTCTCCAAGGGCAGCGAGCACAGTAATAGGTGGCCTCTTCGCTGAGTGGGCCTGCGTGGCTTGCACAGCTCCTTGATCTTCTCAAGCAGCTGCTTGTAGGATTTATAGTTGATGTCAGTCCCAGGTGAAGATCCTCCAATCGGTCCAGGTGAAGATCCTCGCACCAAGTTCTGCGCTGGTGCCGGTGCCCATGCCCCTGACAGGCCGAACGAGCGGGTCTGCCGGTCCTGCGGGGTGTTCAGGGAGTCTGAAAGATCAACGAAGACCGCGGGCAGACTGGTTCACTGCGCATCCCAAGGTTGGCAGAATCAGGAGTCCCTTATAGTCATTGAGTCATGGATGTAAGGTGTAGCCAACACTCATGATATGACTCCAATCCGTGAATAGAAGGAATACACAATAATATCACATAATTTATGTGTATAATGACTGTTTGTATGTATCCATGGCCATAACCATATTGGCTTACTTGGCTCACATTGGCCCGTCTCCCCATCCCGTGTTCTTCAACCATCCACAGAGCGTCTCAAAATCCGACGGTGTGTTTCATGGTGTATCCAACTCGCCACGGCCGAGCAGAGCCTGCTGAACACCCGGCCCCACATCGACCCCCCTTCAGCTCCCGCATCGACGGCGAACAGCGTTCTCCAAGGCCCTGGGCAGATCAAATCGTCGTCACTCTCGTCATCGATCTGCCGGACAGCGAAGGAGCACGCAGGTCGGAACAGCGAAGTCGAAGCCATCGGTCGGACAAGGGGTCATGATTCGCAGTGATTTTACAACGACCCGTTCTGAACCCCGTTCAGGAGGTTTTGCACCACTTAGATCACCCATGGCAGTAACACATAGCAACCCCAACATGCACACAAAGACCATGAAAGCTGTTGGGTTTGCCCGCAACAATGTATGTCGTATTTTAAATGTCCATAGACGCTTGGATAGGATAAAACTGAGGACTCCAACTTCCTGGTGGATACAGCGATGTGCAACAACACATGTGAGGCATCTAAGCCTTGTAATAACCTGTGAGTGCTTTACAGTCGCACTACGAGTTCAACCGTGCTCCAAGTCTCTTCTTGGCAAAGACTATGTTTTCTCTTTAAGTTCTATCATGTTCTATCAACTCACAACACTTTTTGAACCTTTCTTTCCAATGCCTTGCGCTGAGTTGCATCTTGGAATGTCTTGGGCGCCCCAACCCGACGGCCACGACCAGGCCACGCTGAGCGGCACGGTGCCGCACTGCGAAAACGAAACCGCTCCGAGCACCGTGCCTGGTTCCCCAAGGCAGATCCGGGTCTGGCCGCAGGCTCCTGGACGCGCCAGGGGTCGTCGTATCAGCTTGGCAAGTCAAAGGCAAGAAGTCCTGAAGCTCCAAATCACAGGGTTCTCAGCTACAAAAAGCACGGGCTAAACCAGTCAATCGAAGCAAGTTCTGTGACTTTTCGGCAAGTGATTTCATTTCATGTCAACAGGCATCGCCCTTGAATCACTCTCTCTCTCTCTCTGTCTCCCTATGTATATATCTATGCAAACCTGCTTGGTTCGTTTCTCTCCCACTCCGGGCCCTTATACATTTGCGCTGTGTTCGTAAGAGCGCTTTTGTGTAGGTCAAACACGTTTGAACCAGGTTGCCTATTGGGCAACTTGTCTTTCGACAACGTACACGGCGACGTAGCGTGCCACGTTGCAAGTTACATGCAACGAGCGGTGTGCGGCGTGCAGTCTTCAGATCACTTGGTGTGCAATACGTGTTTTCTCCTCCATGTATGGAGGAAAGAGCACGTATGGTTACTGGTTACACCGGAAATGGTTGCTTCATGTGTAACCCCCACAGTATGGAGATGTCAAACGATTCTGCTAGACAAGGAGGGGAAGTTTGATTCATCCACAGTCGACAAGGAGACGGTCCCACTGAAAGGGATTCATGGGTCACCTCAATCCACGGCGGAATCGGGGGTTCTGCTCTATACCTGTGACTTTTGCATTGACCCGATGCAGTCTCCCAACTGCTAGGAACAAGAGGCAACTATACTAGACTCATTGAGTCCAAGTTGGATTGATGTTATCTGCGGAACCGGTCCTGATCGCTGCTACCACATACTATATTTACAGTGCTTGATTCTTGCAGCATTTCTTTAAACAACATGCAGTCCCACGCCTTCTTCTCTGGGCTACTGGACATGGTAAGCCTGGCATCTAGCGCATCGAGCCAGTTTTGTGGCCAATGGCCAGGCCATGGGGATTAAAGCAAAGTGGATGCCTTCATGGCTTTCATGGTGCTTTCTATTGTGAACAGACTGGCAACATCTATTTTAGAGTGGTTAGCCACTGCTCTCTTCCGTCCCAGTCGCTTCCGCCCCCTTGTGATCAGCCATGGGTCGACCCTGCCAAAGCGGCGGAACGCATCACCCACACCACTAAAAATGCTGGCTTCTTCTCTTATTGTTCCTTACAGGACCCCCAAAGGAGTGTTTGTCTAGATGTAGTCCGGCCGGCCGGCAGAAGGAGAGCAGCCAGGCAGTGGTGCTTTCCAAGAGTTCACGGTGTGTATTTGTTTCCACCCTCCCAAATCTTCTGATAGGTTCACTTCGAGGACTCGTCTTCAGACCTCAAAATCTGAAACGCCAGGCAGACAAGATCGAAAGTACAGAACCCCAGACAGACTTGAGCCTTCAAAATTCAGTTCGTCTTTTGCATGTAAAACAATGCTTCTGAATGATTCTTAGCGGTTTCACTCGGGAGCCCCTGACCTGCCAACCCGACACACCCCGTGGGGTCGAAGGGACATCTGCCCCGCGACTGATGAACACCAAGCTGATGACTCGGCGATGGCTCAATCAATAAGACGCAGGAGACCCCGCTGTCTGTATATCTGCATGTATCATTATGACAGAGATAGGAAAGTAGTCTTCCAATATCTTCCATGGGTCATTGTCCACTTCATTCCACTTCCATTTTGATGAGTCAGAGTGAATACCTTTTGGTGGAATATGTCGTCACCGCCCCGGGTGCGATTGATTCGCCTGAAAGCTTCCACAGGCTTGTTGGCATTGGCCGTGGCACCTTGGCATGCAGGATTGGGTTCTGCAGGGCCCCTCTGAAAAGAGAATTGAGCAATTCTCGTATCAAGAGAGTCTGCGCGCACACACACACACACACAGCATCGAGTAGATAGAGTGTGGGGAGAATCTGCAAGACGAAACATCTTGTGGCGTTTTCCTGCGAAATCTTCTTTGGAGGCCAGTGATGGACAGAAATTCACGTTGGTTCCTGCCACCTAAAATACACTTTCGAGTAATTTTGAGTATAGCTTTTAAGTACCGCTAATATAAGTATCAAAATAACACAAGCAAAAGCAACATCGGTTGGTTAAACGATTAAAGTTGTCATGTTTCTTGGGCACGGCCAGGCACTCACTTGCGCACTTTACACTCCCTGGAACTAACATGGAAGTGGACAATGGCCTCTTGGAAGACCATGTTCCTCTACAAACAGAGTGTTTTCCACTTCCATGTTAGTTCCAGGGAGAGTACCTCACTTGCGCACTTTTAGAGGGGAGAAGGTGAAAGGACATTCAACCACCAAACAATCTAATGGGTGGGGTGGCAACAGGCAATCTACAACACCCCAACAATCTATTGGGTGGGGGGGGGAGAAGGTGAAAGGAACACCCTATGAAACGTACCGTTGCTGTGCTGTACCACGTATAGTCTAACAACATGCACTTATGCACTGGAAATTTTAGGAACACCCCATTGAAATGTGTTACCCGAAACGCATCGTCGCTTCACCAAATATACAGTACTCAAGCATAGTCCACTTCCAGTGCACAAGCGAGTAATTTTGCTCAGTGCACAAGCGAGTAGAACTTTCAGTGCACAAGCGAGCGCTCGCCCCTTGGGCACTGTCCTTGGAAGGAGCGCAATGGAAGAAGAAAAGTAAACAAAAAACTGCTGTGCTGTGGCAAATGCGGAGCCGGAGCCCACGAACTCAACAGAAGATCACCTTGCCGCACCTCACTCAAGCCAAAAGGAACGCCCCCCAGGAACGCTGCCACATCCTCTCGCTCCATTTGGCGGCCAAGCCGGTGCGGTTGCCAGCGGTTGCCTTCACTGGAAGACTTGCCTCTGTGATTTTCGACCGTCGCCTGTTGTACTGGCCAGTCATATTGTGGAACCTCGTGCTCCGCCAGTCTCTTGCTCTTCTGAACCTCCGCCAGTCGTTCAGGCAAGCCCAATGTCTTTTGGGCTGCAGCCCAGCTTGGTAGCCGGGTAGCCTGCTCTCAGTGCCATGAATGCGCCTGATCTGTTTCTTGAGGGCACCAGCCTCACCAAAACAGTGGGCAGGCCACTGTACTGTGTTGATCAAGGAATGGAATCCACTGCCTACTTGTAAAGGTGTCCAGCTAAAGGCTTTTCATGACGGACCACACTGGTCTAAACCGTGAGGAAGGGAGAGGGACTGCTCAAATGGTAATGTAGCGGAGGTATTAAGTTGAGACCAACACCGGCTTGATTAGCATCCCGAGCAGACCTACTTCACCAAGATGAGCAAATCATAAAATCATATTGGTTGAAAGTCTCTCGCATATAGTTTGGGATAGTTTGTGGTCAGACCTCTCTGGTCAATCAAACTGTTCATATATGCCTTAAGGAACCCTTTCCTCTTGTGAAATCGTTCCATCACTCACACCCTTCACTGGTGGATTGAATCTACCACAATCTACCCGTTTCAGTATCATTGCCCTTCTTGTTCCATGTTTCATGACTATGTCCGAGTATGTCCTATGTTTAAGACCAGCAATTTTAGCTTCCAGAAGTTAAACACATGTCAGGTTGATCAAGGTGACCAATGGGATGCACTCGTATCTCAGGTCATCTGAGTTCCCAGTTCCGAGGTGATACGCCCTCTGACATGACCCCAATGGCCCGAGCAATTTATGCTCAATATGAGAAATATCGACGATTTCGGACTGAACCGAACTCCGAACTCCTAGTTTCCACTTTCCAAAAGCAGATGTCCGAAAAGGGTCCTCGGGGTGATGACTCCGTCTCCTCGGGGTGATGTCCGACCTGTAGGCGCCAGCATGGAGTGGTCCGCCATCCAGGCATTGGCGGCGCGCGCCTGGCCACACCAGGACTCAGCCCTGATTGGGCTGCCTGGCTCAGTGATCTAGGTTGGCTTGACTAAGTTGAACCAGTTGAGGTTGCACTTTTGGGTCATCATATCCGATGTTCTAAACATGATCAAACGTCTCGTTTGTGACATGAATCACTGCAACATAGAACTTGAAGGCAAAGGCGCCTGTGAAGATGTTGTCAGTTCCATATAAGTTCATGGGAGTAGCTTCTAAATAGAATGATGCATGGCCAGGACATGGCTTGGAAGGAGGAGGACTTCGCCCACCTAGAGCGAATTCCAAGAAATCCCCACCTTGAAGCCATTCAAAGGAACCGAAGTCGACTGAGAACCTCTCATCATACCAAACAACCAGAAACCAACCTCAGCTGTTTCAGATACCACTGAAGCCAGGTGAAGCCGGCTTCCGGCACCCCAACACCTCGGAGATCCGAATGAAGAAGAGTCCCCCTGCTTCGCCCATCTTTCAATGTTCCTCTGCTTCGCTTTCCAAACGGAGTCCCCGTTGCCTCCCAATCGGGCCGCCGAGCCACGCGCGCGGCGTGGAAACGCAGAGGGTCGGGCCTTTTGAGAGGCACTGGAGCTGGAAGTCTTGGGACCTTGGAAGACGGAGATGGGCGCACACCTGGAACCATGCAGATTTCTTGTACAAGCACCCGGACCGGGGAGAGATATAGCATGATATAGCTTTGGAAGGTAGATTGTTCGGATATGGGTCGGTATGGAGATCAAGATCAAGCAGTCTTCAAGCAAGAGATACACAGTTTTGTGAACCAAACGGACTGGAAACCAAACAAAACGGGACATTATGATGAACATCCAGGCCACTTGACAACAACCACAGTGAACATGTCGAACTGTCAGGTTCCACATGTTCCACAACTCTTTGTTCACTGTTCTCTTCCCATGGCAAACTGCCAAAACAAGCTGCTTTTCCATACTGTTTCTATTGTCTGATTCATGAGCTACCATTTGATCACCCGCGCTTGTGCCCAAGCAAAAATCACAAATGACCATGCAGCCTCCATAATCCCTTCAAACAAGTATTCATGGATTTCTGGTCCTGGAGAAAAACATGCAGCATGTGGGTCCTGGTCGGTCCTGGTGCACCGGTCTAAATCTTCATTACCCAACTTCGGAATATCTCCCAACAAATGGACTCGAAGATCAACAATAGTATTATTTATCTCTGCAGGGTTCATCTTAATCTTCGGTTACAACAAACATTACTATAGTTTCACAATGTTTCACATAGTTTCCTTTAGGCCACCACCGCCATCGAATACATTCGAATGCTATGAGTAAGTCACACCTACCAAGGGAACCAAAAGTATCCTTGGCACCAGGTTTCTCGCCGAAAGCCAGGTTGCCGGCCAACCCTCATGGTGCCAAAACAAGGACATCCATGTCCCTTTTCTTATCATTCTGGCTGAGCTGCCCAAGGTCCATGGTGCACCTGGAGGCCTGCATTCATTTCCACAGCAAGTCAAATTAAACATTACATCTGATCTGAAGGTGCCCAAAACTCGATCGAAACTCACAAAACACTCTTCCTTCCTCTTCGCAACGCACAAAACACATCTTTCAAAACACGACTCTTCACGTCTGGACTCTACAGACTCACGTTCTGCACCCGCAAGAGGCGGAATCATGTTGATTTCGGATTTGATTCCGAATGGATTTGTTATCCACGTACAGCACATTGATTTGACAGCACTCGGATTTTGGTTTTGGATTTAAATGGATCCGCGTTCATTGCTGTCCGAGTTCTCTCCCACCCTCCGGTTCCATGCGGTGATTCTGTCGAACCGGACCGAACTTTTGCTCAATATTCATTCAAAACGCAGGACACCACAATCAGTCGCGCGGTTGACCTCTCAGCAATTCCTATCATCCCGTTACTCATCCTGTCTATCTTGGCGAAGCGGAGCAAGCGTCCTGAGACATTACACAGCGAAAACAGACCCAGTGCACTACCCAGTGGATCACAAAATATCATCAGTAATGTTGGAACACTTAGAATTCACTTGGACAGTTGTCCCAACAAATCCTAAACACTACACTCTCGGTGACTATGCTGGGATATCATAGAGCTGCCAAGCAGTAAGGTGACTTCAATCGACACATTTAATGACCAAGGGGGGTCATCAAAACAACATACTGAGCGCGTAGAACGTCCGGACGCCACGAGGCGACACGACTGGACCTACCACGAATCCGTTGAACATCTTGGAACCCTTCCAGGCCTTTCCACCAGATCCGCATCCTCGATCTCCACCTGCCACGAAGGGCCACGAAGGAAGCGGTCAGTCGGGTGCGAATCTGAGCAATCTGAATCCCAAAAAAACCACGGAAAAATCGATGCACGTCAATCGAATGACATGGCCGGATCGCCAAGAAAAAGAATTGCGTGTCAAAAAAACATTGCACAAACATGCAAAAACAGTATATGAATATCCCCCCATGGACTACTCTAGACTGTAAAGGTTTCCATCGGAATATCCAAACTCAAAGGAGTACCAAGGATTGTGACATGGTGACATGGAATGTGGAAAGCTCATTGAATGAAAACAAACCAACTCGTGTTTTCGTTTGTTTTCCGTGGCCAACCGGATGTTTCCTTTACTCTCCCAGTAGTTTGTGTTAAACATTGATGTTGTTATTGTCTTTGCTTCTCTTCACATGAGGAGCATGTGCTGAACGTTCGAAGGCACTCTATGTGAAGAAAACAAGTTGGATTCAATGCCGATGCATGTAGTCAATCATACGGTACAACATTGATTCCTTTGTGACAGAAACAATTCAACAATGTTTGACTTAGGTCTTAGGTTCAATCAAAACAAACAAACCACTTAGTCAACAGGTCCGAATAATGAATTTGGTGCCTCCACCGGCTTCTCAGGCGACAAAACCACCGCTTCCAAAGTGCCAGCCAGCTCCTGAGAAGCAGTGACATCAAACGCAAGAAGCAGTGCGACATCAAACGCAAGAAGACATGACCAGCATGGGAATCCAACGCGAAGAGGCAGGAGCCTATTCTACCGTGAATTCGCCAGTGTCTTCTCAAGCGCTAAGAATTCGTGTGACATGAAACGCGAACAGGCGAAGCTGCTCCTATCCCTATCAAACCGGACAGGACTCTTCTACCCAGACTACCTTCGCATCGCGCCTGGACGGCGTCGGTGAGGCACCGGCGCAGGCGCTTCAGGCCCGGGCTGTCTGGAAGAGAGGGCCTTGGGAGGTCTGTCAAAGCGCAGAAAGCTGTACCCTCCATCCAAACAAACATGGAAAATGGCCCCTTGGAAGACTGAATTCCTCTATTGTTTCAGGCTGTATTCCACTTTCATGATTGTTTCAGAAGGGTATAATATAGGGAATGAAGGAATCAGTAGTGGTTCCTGAGATTGAACGCCATTCCTTGCGCCAAACTTAAGCGATAAGGAGTGTTCCTGATCCCCTAACCAAACATTGGCACGAATGATGCATTACGAGTCATCAGACATGGTATCCATTGCTGGCCTAGATATTCAAATTCAACAGAGTAGATCCATACATTGGTGCAGCAAGACCTTAGATCTCCTTGGCAAGCTTGCTCACGGACATACCTGAAACAGTAAGACAGCCTCATCTTCCTATCTTTCCTTGGTTCAGAGTTCACTTTGGCCTATCCAAAAGCAACTCGATTAAAAAAAACATGGGACTAACATGACTTACTCAAATGAATTAGGCATTTAATTGAAAAGCCATCATCCCTGGAATTTTACACGCTGGGCTTCCCATGGTCTCCGACTGGTGGGAAATGCATCTTCAAAAGATCTCCATCCATACGCGACAGGTTTTCATGGTCTAGAGCCTTAAAGGCAAAGAACTCTTAGCTATGCTAATGAACGGTATTTTGAGGAGCATAGCATACAACCTGTTACATGGCTATGGTTCCCAAACGAGTTACCACTGACTCGCCAAAGATTGCCAAGTTGAGAAACACGGCAACAGAAGGGATGCTGATGTGGCTCAGTAAAACAACCCACATCCGTCCATGACCTTGCACACAGAAGACTTCGTTGCACCGTCGCCTCGTCTGGGGGACATTGGTCACCGATTGTCCATGGGATTCACCTCGGATGAAAACCGGCGGTGAACAAAGGGACTGTGCTGGGCTTTGTTTGATGTCTACACATCACATGTTCATTGGGACCAACACTGGCTTTCTCAAAGCGTTTTTGCTGCCGCTGGGGTTGTGGTGATCGTGCTTCAAACTACGTTACTACATGCTCAATTGAGAGGAATCTAGTTAATCTAGTTATGCTTAGTGAATCAAGACGGTCCGATGGATCTTCTCAACCATCAACAGTATCAATCAAACACGTCTTTAGGGCGGGTTAGCAAATTGTGATAGAATCTGGCTTGATCTTCAGTTGCATGACGCAACAAGACGAAAGGACTCGTTCTT